AACGGGCGGTTTTTATCAAAAATAAAAAATCCTTTTCAGTTTTTTGTTGAGTCTAAAAAATCAGCTAAAAAACTAAAACGAAGAGTTTTTTAGCTAGCTTTTTAGTAGTTTAAAAAACGAGCTAAAAAGCTCTTAGTTTTTTTGGCTGGTTTTTTAGATTCAACAAAAAATTGAAAAAGATTTTTTATTTTTGATAAAAACCGCCCGTTTTTCATTTTGCATCTGTCACGAACGCTTTTTAATTTTTTAGATATAAAAAATGGAAAAGCGTTTTTTAAAAGGTTTATTGGTCTTAATAAACTCTTTTTGATAGTTTATTAATCTACGACTTTTTTTTAGAGTGCTCCACTTATCAGAAAATATGATCTTTGTAACTAGCCGAAATTGAGGTAAGCGTTTAGTTGTGAAGCTAAAGGTGTTTTCTATCACATTTTATCTTTATTTCTCTTCAATATACGTTTCTAATGATTATTGCAAAAGTTTTTTAAAAGCCCTAAAAAAATACTGTTCTGGTAAATGTACTAGAGTTAATACTTGCAATCAGTTTGTAGAGTAGACATTTCTGATTTGAACAGATGTTTGCCAGTTCTAGGAGATATTTCGATCAAGGGTTATTAGAGTTTTGCCGAGAATTGATCATATACTTTAGTGCTGTCGTTTTTCGAAAGCTTAATGTATCTTCTCACCATTACGTATGCGCAGAATTTTCCCGTTAGTTTAGTTAATGGAGAGCACGAGATGGCACTAAATTAAAGCTAACGCTTACGGATACAACATGCAAGAGTCTGATTTTTGAACTTAGGACTATTTTTTGATAAACGAAGGATTTCTACAAAACTGAAATAAAGTTTTTCCTGTTCTGACCCTGGGATAACCGCTATAAACAAACAACGCACAGATTCAGAAACGTTATAAACTTGTTGTAGATTGGACTTATAGTTAACGAGATAGATTTCTGATACATGGAGGGCCTTAAAGTAGAAGAAGAAGAAAAAGCTGAACGAACCGTGAAATATGCAGCGTGCCTCTTCTTTCAATATATCATTGGACTTTTCAACTTTTAAAATGATAACATCCGTATACCGATGAGCATCTTGTGAAGCTTGCGGTGCTGTTACAGATAATCTACGACGTCTTACATTAAGCACCGATTCAAGGTCAATTTCTGTTGTGCTCATCTTTCGTTGATCCATCCTTGGGGGCTGAAAACAACAAATTAAAAATACAAAGTTAAAAGGTAATTATTCTCTCAAATGGCCACTAAGTTTGCCGGATGACTCGTGGATATTTCTCTTCGTATGATAAACAAGAGCATACGACTTTCTCATAGTGGGCATCCAGGCGGACATTTAGTGGAAAATCGAAAGGGCGCTTTTTCTAAATTTAATTAGTGTCATTTATACTTTAATTAATGGCCTATTTTATGGTGTAAAAGTTTTTGTGTTACGTACTCTCTTTTCAGTAAAAACTTAGCGAACACAAATAGCGTACAAAATAGCTACCTTTTGGGTAAAATCGATTTTCTGTCGGATGAAAATAAAGTGAATAAAAAAAGAGTAAATATTCTTAAAATCTTCACTCGCAGCTATCCAAAAACAAAAACAAAATTTCTTCCAGGAACGAACCTAGCGGCTAAAATAGGCTTTTTCGCAAACCGAACCGTTTACGCAAAAGCCGTGTCCATTGCAATGAGATTGCGAGACTTAGCGAAGGTGCAATCTCACTCAAAAGTATATCAAAATGTTCCTCAATATGTTCTACATTAGAGGTGTGATGGTTCCAGTTTCTATAGTTCCTAAGAACTGGTCGAAAGGACTGGTCACTAGTTCAGTTTCTGTTGAACGGGATCTGGTTACCAGTTCTTTTCAAGAATTCAGAATAAAATAAAACCGATGTAGCTAGTTATATTGCCTTGGTTTAGTCAACTAAAAACACCATCTACCTCTGGCGCACTACACAAAGTCAATGTAAGTAGGTTCACCGATTTTATTCCAATTTTAATTTTTTGAAAAGAACTGGTAGCAGTTCGTGTTCTTTTGAAAAGAACTGAACTGGAACTGTCCCGCTCCTATTCTACATCTATCGTGAATGCACAAAAATGCACAACGTCCAAAAAACTCCGGTGGTTTAGGTAAAATGCGTTTTTCTCAGTCAAGGAACATTTGTGTAAAAAAATAATGTGATATGTGGAATCAACGTATAAAACTACATCGAATGACATATAACTTGTTCATTTTCTGAATAAAAATTTTTTCAACAAAAATTTAGAGCAAGGGGGGGGGGGGGGGGGGGGGGGGGGGGGGGGGGGGGGGGGGGGGGGGGGGGGGGGGGGGGGGGGGGGGGGGGGGGGGGGGGGGGGG